GTCAATTAGCATTTCAGATTTTGGTTGAGGAAAGAGGAAGGGGAGTTTAACTAAGGAATTGATAACTCTGATAGCTCACTTACTGTATGCAAAACCTGTAATGTCCCGGGGATGGAGAGATTAGGAGGGTGTCCGGGGCTCCTGCCCACCTATGGACTTGAGAACCTGTATTCCCACTCCCTTCTTCAGGCATTACTCTGAGAATAGTGGTGACTGGCTGAGACAGGGGCCAGAGTCCAGATGGAAAGTTGGGGTGACCAGGGGAATTAGCCTTGGGCCCTTCTTTATCTCCATTGGGGTATAGTTGTTCTATTGGTTCTATTGCCCCATAAAACTTCACTGTGATATGGAGGCAGTTTGAGTTCATTTACCCCTCCTGGGAGGTTCTCAATGAGAACAAATAGGAAAACCCAGGAGAAAAGGGGAAGAGGCTGGTGTGGGTGGATGGAGGGTGGAGGTTCAGATGTACACTTGGACTCTAGGGAAGGGGTGGGAGCATGGCTGAGTCAGGCAGCCGAGTGCCAATGTCATCCTTTCCCATAGCCCCACCACTCCCATCCTGCCTTGGACACTGACCTTGGATAAGTAGCAACCAAGGAAAACACAGCCCTGGCCATGCAGGAGGAAGTCAGTGGGAAGGGGAGTTCAGCGGGGGCCTGGAGAAGACACCTGGTCCTTCTTGCCCACATCCCCTGGCCTAGAGCTTCTCAAGGCTGCTGAGCACTGCAATCACTGGGGAGTTGGTCAAAATGCAGATTCCAGGACCCCACCTCAGATCAACCAAATCAGAATTTTGGGGAGTCAGGTTGCAGGGATTTTCGTTTTTCACAAGCCTCCCTTCCTATATCCCCAGCAGTGTATGAACACACACTTACAGACAGATCTGAACAAATAAAATCAACACTATCCCTGAGCCCACCAGATACACTTACAGAAGGAAGTATGAAATGCAGCCTGAGGAGATAAAAGACTCACTTTGTGAAGGGTTAAATTAATGCTGCAATATATAAACAGTCGTTCAAAATAGGCAGATAGGCTGGACAAATTGCCAATGAGTAAGAATGACAGTAGACATCCTTCAGTGTTTGCTTGTGAAATGCTAGATCCTGTACTAAGCACTTTTGCTATGTACTTTCATTCAATCTCATTACAACTCTGGAAGATAGGTATTTTTTTCTCCATATAATAATGAATGAGGCCAGGTGATGGCTCAACACCTGTTAATCCCAGCACTTTGGGAGGCCAAGGCAGGAGGATCGCTCGAGTCCAGGAGTTTGAGACAACATAGTGAGGCCTCATCTCTACTAAAAATTAAAAAATTAGCGACGCGTGGTGATGCATGCCTGAGGTCCCGGCCACTAGGTAGGCTGAGGCAGGAAGTTCTCTTGAGCCTAGGAGGCTGAGGCTGATTGTGCCACTGCACTCCAGCCAGGGCAACAGAGTGAGACTCTGCCTAATAATAATAATAATAACAATAATAAATAAGTTAAGGCTTCGGCTTATTTGTCAAGTCTTCTTATATTAGCCTTCCCTGATACTTGGGAAGTGATCCGGTAATATTTCTGTGTTCCAAAAATATCCTTATGTTACAGCCGTTATTTCTCTGATCACATCACGTTGTAATTGCCTGTTTATGAGACTGTGTCTCTCACAAGACTTGAGGACAGGCCAGGTGCCGTGGCTCATGCCTGTAATCTCAGCAATTTGGGAGGCAGATCATTTGAGGTCAGGAGTTGAAGACCAGCCTGGCCAACGTGGTGAAACCCCGTATTTACTAAAAATACCAAAATTAGCCAGGTGTGGTGGTGTGCGCCTGTAATCCCAACTACTTGGGAGGCTGAGGCAGGATAGTTGCTTGAACCTGGGAGGCGGAGGTTGCAGTGACCTGAGATTGCACCGCTGTACTCCAGCCTGGCTGACAGAGCGAGACAAAAAAAAAAAAAAAAAAGACTTGAGACTTGAGGGCAGATACTTGGTATTTCCAGAACCCAGTGAACTATAGGTGCTCACGTGATGTTTGTTGAATAATGAATGGTGTGTCTGAAGTCTCAGAGCTAATACATGAAAAGGCTGAGTGACTCTAAGCCCAGGTTTCCCCACGGATCCATTACAAAGAGAAGGTATAGGCTGGGGGGATTTTTGCAAGGGACAATATTTATAGGTTGGAGTAATCAAAGAAGCCTCATTGGAGGAGGTGGGGGTAGAAGGACAATTAGAATTCAAAGACTGATAAAAGGTGAGCAGTCATTCCAGGCAGTCCAAGGCAGAAGGAGTGGTTTTACAAGGCATTAACTTCCTCCAAGACTAGAGGCCCCAAAAGACTCCAGGACACTGTGCCCCCACCCAAACTTTTCTAGTTCACTCATTGGCTCTAGTTCACAAAAGGCAGTAAAGTACTAGATATACACATTTTAAATACCTTATGGCCGACTTACATCTCCCTTATTGCTGTAATGGACCATGTTGGTCAGGATGATCTCGAACTCCTGGCCTCAAGTTATCTGCCCACTTTAGCCTTTCAAAGTGCTGGGATTACAGATATGAGTTATATGTCTGGCCAAATCTAACAGCTTTTTAGAAACATGGGACTGTGTTTACAAACTGATGCTGGGTGAAGAACAATAGAATGCAATATTGTGGGGTATGGCTATTGTATAACTGTTATAGTTGATAAGAAAGGAAACAATGATGAGGGAGAAGGAGAGAAATAATGAAAGAGGGAAGAGAGGCTGGGCGCGGTGGCTCAAGCCTGTAATCCCAGCACTTTGGGAGGCCAAGGCAGGTAGCCTGAGGTCAGTAGTTCAAGACCAGCCTGGCCAACATGGTGAAACCTCGTCTCTACTAAAAATACAAAAATTAGCTGCGCATGATGGCACACACCTGTAGTCCCAGCTACTAGGAAGTCTGGGCAGGAGAATCGCTTGAACCCAGGAGGCGGAGGTTGAAGTGAGCCAAGATTGCACCACTGCACTTTAGTCTGGGTGACAGAGGGTGACTCTGGCACCCCCACAAAAAAAAAAGTCTGGCATGGTGGCATGCACCTGCAGTCTCAGCTGTTCAGGAGGCTGAGGTGGGAGAATCACTTGAACCTGGGAAGTTGAGGCTGCAGCGAGCTGAGATCACCCACTGCACTCTAGTCTGGGTGACAAAGAGAGACCCTGTCTCAGAAAGAAAAAAAGAAAAAGCATAGAAGGAGAGATACCAAACTATTATCACAGGTCACCTCTGACAGGACTGTTACTTGCTCTGAATTATTTGAAATGTTTATATATATAACTTATCGGAAACATCCATGATGTGTGTGTGTGTGTGTGTGTGTCTGTCTGTCTGCCTAAAAGAAGAGTCCTGGCTGAAATTCCAAGAGTGGAATTTCAATTCCAAGATTGGAGATTAAAGCCTGGTGAAATGTGGCAAAGTTGGTTTTTCATCAGTTCAGGGACCCTAGTCCCATGTCTGGAAGTCAGCATTGAATTTAGCTTTGGATGGAAATGAAGGAGATTCATGAAGAGCAGGCCTTGGAAAAAGAAATAGATGTGCAGAGATTTCCTGAATTAATAATAATAATTGGCCAGGTGCAGTGGCTCATACCTGTAATCCCAGCACTTTGGGAGGCTGAGACGGAAGGATCACCTGAGGTCAGGAATTTGAGACCAGCCTGACTAGCATAGAGAAACCCATCTCTACTAAAAATACAAAATTAGCCAGGCATGGTGGCACATGCCTGTAATCCCAGCTATTCAGGAGGCTGAGGCAGGAGAATTGCTTAAACCCGGGAGAAGGAGGTTGTGGTGAGCCAAGATCACACCATTGCTCTCCAGCCTGGGCAACAAGAGCAAAACTCCATCTCTAATAATATAATAATCACAGGAGCCTTTGCAGAGTGTTTTATACTTTGCACTGTCAGTTTTACCTGGGGCAGAGGACGATCTCATAAGATAGGTAGGCTGGAGCAATCACTGAGGAGATGGAGTTCCTGCATGTGAAGTGGTACTGGGAGTGAGAGCAGTAACTGGAAGTCAAGAGTCTGAACCCCTAACCCCTTTCAGCTCTGACTTGAATAAAATAAAATTCATTCAACTCCCAGCCCAGTGCCTGACACACACGTGTTTTCAAGGTACCTGGCACCTTCTCCAGGTGCGCTCCCTAGGTCCATGGGTTGCTGCTTTACTCTGGTTGCATTATTTGCACCCTTCGGGGCATCTGTTCTCCTCCAAGTGTAATTTGCTCCAGCCAAACTCATCGTTTCCTTTCACTGTGGCCCTTTCCATCTTCATCTCACTGTTCCCTCATCCTAGAATATCGTCTCCCTTTGTTCTCAATCCCCTCCAACCCTCCTGCTTCTCTGCACATCCAGGTCCTGTTGGTCCTCCAAGACGATGCCAAACGCCGCCTCCTCCCCAAACACGCACCAGCCCCCTGCTGGACACCATTGCTCCTTCCCCCCGCCCAGGCCAGCCATCTGCTTTTCTCTTGGGGTGCATTGCATCCTGCTTACACAAGAACTCTCTGCAGGTGTGTGCTTGTCTCTGGACTAAACCAAAAGCCTCTTTGTCTTTGTGTCTTTGACACAAAGGTGTGTGTGTCATTCATTTGTGTTTCTTCAGTGCTGCCCTGCATGCAGCAAGTGCTCACGTGCTTTGGCTGCAGAGTGAGGGAATGCATGAGTGAGAGCATGGATGGAGGGCAGGGCGTGCAGGAATGGAGGGAGAGATGGGCAGAGAGGTGATGACTCCTCAAACCTGTGGCCATCCTTGCCCTGGCCTTGCTGGCAATGGCAATGGGATCACAGCCAGCACTTCCCGAGGGTGAATAACCTCAGGGCTCTGACCCTCCAGGTCTTGCCCACATCATAAAATAGCAAGAGCTTCCTTTTCAGGGCAGGAGGGAGAAGACGTGGGGTGATTTAGGGGCTGAACCTCAGCAACTGGGAGAGTTTATAAGCTGGGACAGCACACCCCTCGGCACCGCCTGTTCTCCTCGACCCTCTGCTCTCTGCCTCCAGCCTCCTAGCAGCATGGCTTTCACTGGCAAGTTCGAGTTGGAGAGTGAGAAGAATTATGATGAGTTCATGAAGCTGCTGGGTGAGTGAGCTCCTGAGTATGCCTTCCTCGGGGCTGGTTTGTCACAGCCAGCTCTGGGCCAGGAACCCAAACCCCTAAGGTAGAATGGGACAGGACTTCATTCATGCATTCACTTATTCATTCACACACTTGTTGAATAACTGCTTTCTCCTAGGCTCTGAGGATAATAAGAACTAAAAGATACTCTGACTTTATTTATTTATTTATTTATTTGAGATGGAGTTTCGCTCTTATTGCCCAGGCTGGAGTGCAGTGGCATGATCTTGGCTCACTGCAACCACGCCTCCCAGGTTCAAGTGATTCTCCTGCATCAGCCTCCTGAGTAGCTGGGATTACAGGCATGTGCCACCACATTTGGCTAATTTTTTTGTATCTTTAGTAGAGATGGGGTTTCAACATGTTGGCCAGGCTGGTCTTGAACTCCTGACCTTGTGATCCACCCACCTCGGCCTTCCAAAGTACTGAGATTACAGGCATGAGCCACTGTGCCCAGCCTGACTTTTTAATTTAATTTAATTTTATATTTTATTTTTGAGACAGAGTATTACTCTGTCACCTAAGCTGGAGTGCAGTGGCACCATCTCAGCTCGCTGCAACCTCTGGCTCCCAGGTTCAAGGGATTCATCTGCCTCAGCCTCCCAAGTAGCTGGGATTACAGGTGTGCGCCACCAAACTGGGCTAATTTTTTTGTTTTTTGGAAAGACGAGGTTTCACCATGTTGGCCAGGCTGGTCTTGAACTCCTGACCTCAAGTAATCCAACCCACGTTAGCCTTCCAAAGTGCTGGGATTACAGGTGTGAACCACCACGCCTGACCTAGACACTCTTTGACTTTAAAACACATATCGAATTTATTAGTATCTCCACTCTAGTGATGGAAAACTTGAGGCCCAGAGAATTGAGTAACTAGTCCAAAGTCAAACAGCTAGTTATTGCTAAAGTAGTGACTTGGTTGATGAAGTAGAGATTTGATGTTTATTTGGTCAAACATTTGTTTTTATTTTTCTTAATTTGTTTTTGAGATGGTGTCTCACACTGTCTCTCAGGCTGGAGTTCAGTGACGCGATCTCGGTTCACTACAACCTCTGCCTCCTGGGTTCCAGTGATTCTCCTCTCTCAGTCTCCTGAGTTGCTGGATTTACAGGCACATGCCACCACGCCCGGCTAATTTTTTGTATTTTTTAGTAGAGACGAGGTTTTACCCTGTTGGCCAGTCTCGTCTGGAACTCTTAACCTCAGGCGATCTGCTCGCCTCGGCCTCCCAAAGTGCTGGGATTACAGGCGTGAGCCACCGTGCCTTGCCCGTCAAACATTTATTGAACACCAGCTATATGCAAGGCTATTTCTATGTTATCAGTGGAGACTCAGCGTGACTTGCCAAAGTCAGTGGCAGAGGCCACTGGTACCCAGGAGCCTCTGATGAGTGGTGTCACCACATCCTGCCTAGGAGAGGAAACCAAAGGGTTATCACGGAGACCAGGTTTGACAAGTCACTACTTCATACAGTCATTCAGCAAACACAGACCTCTCACTGTGCTAGACACTAAGGGGAGAGAGACCAATGATTTCCTTCCTTCTCTTGCTGCTTGACTTATAGCACTGGTCTGCTGTGAGGAATCGTGAGACAGTGGATCTGACAATCCTGTGGAAATCTCAGTATCTCACTATTTAAAAGTCTCAGGCAGCATAACTCTCAAGGTTCAGAGGACAGCTCCAGGGGACCCGGGCCCTCCGTCTCGGTGGCCACATCTTTCTGGCCAGCTGGGTCAGAGCAGCCCTGAAACCAGGGCCCTTGTGCCCTGTGGCCTTGAAGATTTGATAGCCCTTCTGAGTCATGTATGGGCAGTGGCCCTGAAGGAGCAATGACCTGGCCTTACCTGTAACAGCCTCATGTTGTGGAAGGGGAAGTGAGCCCACCTCAGTTCTAGACCTGATTCTGTCATGAACTCATGACCTTTCAAGGAAATACTGGAAAGTCCCTTTCCCATTGTGGGTATTCACTTCCTTATCTGTAAAATCGAAGTATTAGAAGACACAATCTTTTTTTTCTTTTTTTTTAGAGGGGGACAGAGTCCAGCTCTTTTGCCCAGGCTGGACTGTACTACATGATCCTAGCTCACCACAACCTCTGCCTCCCAGGTTCAAGTGATTTTCCTGCCTCAGCCTCTCAAGTAGTTGGTATTACAGGCGCCCCCCACCATGCCTGTATTATTTTTTGTATTTTTAGTAGAGATGGGGTTTCAGGCCGGGTGCGGTGGCTCACGCCTGTAATCCCAGCACTTTGGGAGGCCGAGGCAGGTGGATCACAAGGTCAAGAGATCGAGACCATCCTGGTCAACATGGTGAAACCCCGTCTTTACTAAAAATACAAAAAATCAGCTGGGCATGGTGGCACGTGCCTGTAATCCCAGCTACTCAGGAGGCTGAGGCAGGAGAATTGCCTGAACCCAGGAGGCGGAGGCTGTGGTGAGCCGAGATTGCGCCATTGCACTCCAGCCTGGGTAACGAGAGCGAAACTCCGTCTCAAAAAAAAAAAAAAAAAAAAAAAAAGAGATGGGGTTTCACCATGTTGGCCAGGCTGGTCTCGAACTCCTGACCTCAAACGATCTGCCTGCCTCGACCTCCCAAGGTGCTGGGATTACAGGCATGAACCACCACACCTGGCCAGAAGATACCTTGTTCATTCCAGAACTTTGTGAGCTTGGCAAGATTCCGTCATGTTTATATTACCATCAGAATCTTGCTTATGATTGATGAGCACCCACTATGTGCCAGGAGCTTCACAACACACTCACATGGAATATAATTCTTGGAACAGCTCTTTGGGATGGGCCTTATTATCCCCATCTTGTGGATGAATACACTGAGGCTCAGAGAGATAGTGACTTGCCCCAGCCACATGGCTCACAGAATGTATTATCTGTCTCAGGCACTGTGCTCTTTATCTGCAGGCTAGCCTACCATGCACAGAGGGTAGGGGGTTGGGGGCGGGCAGGAAAGCTCTTTCCCCAAATCACAGGGTCAAAAGCAACTCTTATATGGCTACTCTGCTTGTCCCGGGTCCAGGAATCTCCAGCGATGTAATCGAAAAGGCCCGCAACTTCAAGATCGTCACGGAGGTGCAGCAGGATGGGCAGGACTTCACTTGGTCCCAGCACTACGCCGGGGGCCACACCATGACCAACAAGTTCACCGTTGGCAAAGAAAGCGAGATACAGACAATGGGGGGCAAGAAGTTCAAGGTGAGAGGCCACTCTCTGTCCCCCTCCCTCCCCAGGTCTCCATCTGATTTCTCCATCTCAAACACGGCCTCCCTGCTCCCAAGCTGAGGCTTCTTTCTCCAGTTTGGCCTCCAGCATTAAGAGCTTGTGTTATGTGGCAATTTAATGCTCCTGGTTTTTAATAATCAAAAATGGGCAGTAAAACAGAAAAATAGCTAATGCTTGCTGAACATGTAATATAACCTAGACACTTGCTGAATGGTTTTTTCACCTTAATGCAGTTAATCCTATGAAATTGCTACAATTACTTAACCTAGATTGAAGGGGGAGGCTAAGTCAGGGGATTAAAAAGCTTGCTGGCCAGGTGCAGTGGCTCTCGCCTGTAATCCCAGCACTTTGGGAGGCTGGGGTGGGTAGATGGCTTGAGGCCAGGAGTTTGAGATTGGCCTGGCCAACCTGGTGAAATACTGTCTCTACCAAAAATATAAAAATTAGCTGGACATGGTGGTGCATGCCTGTAATCCCGGCTAATCAGGAGGCTGAGGCAGGGGAATTGCTTGAACCCAGGAGGCGGAGGTGCAGTGAGCCAAGATCGGGCCACTGTACTCCAGCCTGAGTGACAGAGTGAGACTGTCTCAAAAACAAAGAAACAAACCAACCAAACAAAAATCCACTTGCCTCAGTCACACAGCAGGGGCAGACCTTTACACCAGGCACTAGAGAGCAAAAGTGCTTTTTCTCTTTTCAAGACAGGGTCTCACTCTGTCACCCAGGTTGAAGTGCAGTGGTGTCATCTCGGCTCACTGCAAAATCCACCTCCTGGGTTCAAGCAATTCTCCTGTCTCAGCCTCCTGAGTAGTTGGGATTACAGTGTCTGCTACCACGCCTGGCTAATTTTTGTATTTTTAGTAGAGACATGGTTTCACCATGTTGGCCAGGCTGGCCTGGAACTCCTGACCCTGTGATCTGCCCACCTAAGCCTCCCACAGTGCTGGGATTACAGGCGTGAGCCACCGTGATAGGCCATAAGTGCTGCCTCCCGGTGTAGCACAGAGATAAAGAGGCTGGACTCTGGAGTTAGCCTTGGCTGGGTTTCAAACCATGATTTCCCGCCAGCAATTGTAGGGCCTTGGGCAAGTCATTTCACTCCCCTGAGCCTTGTATCTCTAGTATGCAAAATAAGACTACATACAGTCTCTGGCTCCAAGAGCTGTGGCGAAGATTAAACAAGACAGCGCGTGAAAGCACCTAGCATAGTGCCTGCCACATAGTGAATGCTAGAAGAAAAAATGCAGTAATTTGCTTTTGTTTCAGAAGTAAAGAAACTGAAGCTCAGGGAGGACAAGCAATGTGTCTAAGGCCCTGCAGCCAGAACATGGTGGGACCAGGGATTTGAACCCCAGTTTTTTTTTTTTTTTTTTTTTTTGAGATGGAGCTTCGCTCTTGTTACCCAGGCTGGAGTGCAATGGTGCGATCTCGGCTCACTGCAGCCTCCGCCTCCTGGGTTCAGGCAATTCTCCTGCCTCAGCCTCCTGAGTCGCTGGGATTACAGGCACGTGCCACCATGCCCAGCTGATTTTTTCTATTTTTAGTAGAGACGGGGTTTCACCATGTTGACCAGGATGGTCTCAATCTCTTGACCTCGTGATCCACCCGCCTCGGCCTCCCACAGTGCTGGGATTACAGGCTTGAGCCACCGCGCCCGGCCTGAACCCCAGCTTTTTGCCTCTATCATTAGGTCTCTGGTAACACATGTGGAGTTCTAATTATAGAAAAGGAGTCAGGCTGGTGGCACCAGGGGAAAGCAAAAAGAGAGAGCAAATAAGCGATAAGTCTGCCTTTCTTCATGGTCCAGGACACATAGCCCCCCCGTGCAAATAGCTCACAATCTTCCTGTGTCTAGCTGTCATCAAACACCTCGGCTGATAGAAAAATGTAAGTTATCTCACTGCAACCTTGCTTTATCAATACTGCACAAAACCTTCTTCAGCACACAGCATAAGCAACAGTCTGTAAACTCCCCAGCAAGACTTTTGTCTCCTTGCAGCCAGCTCCTCTCTTGCTGACCTGCCCAGTGCCTCTTGTAATGTGTTTTCATACTTTCTCTATGAAATCTTTCTTTTTTTAATCTTTTTTTTTTTTTTTTAACTTCCTCTAACATGGCTCATAGGAAACAAGAAATATGACTTTCTTTACCTACAACTGTCTTGGTAAAAAAAATTTTTTTTTTTGAGACGGAGTCTTGCTCTGTTGCCCAGGCTGGAGCACAGTGGCACAATCTCGGCTCACTGCAGCCTCTGCCTCCCGGGTTCAAGTGATTCTCATGCCTCAGCCTCTCAAGTAGCTGGGATTATAGGTATGAGTCACCACGCCTGGCTAATTTTTGTGTTTCTAGTGGAGATGGGGTTTCACCATGTTGGCCAGGCTGGTCTCGAATGCCTGACCTCAAATGATCTGCCCACCTCAGCCTCCCAAAGTGCTGGGATTGTAGGGATAAACCACTGTGCTTGGCCTTGGTAAATTCTTCCTACTGCCTGCGCCACCAGCCCCAGATAGTTGCCGATCAATTGCAACATCCCAGGCTTAATAATGTGTTTCCACTCCAGGCCACTGTGCAGATGGAAGGTGGGAAGCTGGTGGTGAATTTCCCCAACTATCACCAGACCTCAGAGATCGTGGGTGACAAGCTGGTGGAGGTAAGTGTCCTCCTGGTTCCTGGGAGGATGATTGGACATTTGTCTTCCTCCTGGCCACAGCCCCTCAGAGATAGGCCTCTGGGCAGCTGACCTTAGCAGCACTTCCCTTGTACCAGGCTCTATGCTGAGTGCTAGATGCACATGATGTCCTTTGATCTTCAAAATAACCCTATGAGGTAGGGATTTTAATCTCCATTTTCCTGAAGCAGAGGGAAAGTCATTATTTCCCTGAGGCACAGGGAAGCTAAATGGGGGAGCACACAGCTTTGATGAGAGCTGTGATCTGATGTTAGGTAGCCTGACTCCAGCACTCACACTCAGCCACCTCTGGGGCACAAGACTGGAAGCCCAGAAGATCCTTCCTAGAATATAAATAAAGGAGGTGGTCCAGGTGGGCTCCTCAAAGGACAGCCACCACTTCACTCCATTTCCATGAGGGACATCAGGCCCCTTCTACCAGATCTTCGGATTTATCAAGAGAAGCTGGAAATTTGCACTTTCATGTGAAATCTCCACACGGTTAAATATTGACAACTAATTACAAAATTTCTTTAAATGTTGGCAGGTCCAACACACACACCTGTGGACCCACCCCTCCTACACTAGAGATGGTGCCCTGGGTGGCCCTTCCTCTCACTTCTGTTTCTTTCCCATGGATCTTCAAGTTTTCCCCAGGTGGAAGAAATGGGTGTGAAGTTAGAAGGGAAAAGAAGGCATTTTCACACTTCATTCCCTCACTGTGAGCCTATGACCTGGGCCAGAGACCTCTGCAGTCCCGTGTAGGTCTCGAAAGGGCCCTTCCCTCCTCTCTGAAGCTCTCCAGCAGGGAAGATGTGATGAGGAAGGCAGAGTTCACAACCCCCTTGCTTCTCCTTCTTTGATCCTCCTCTCTCTCTCCCTTTATCCCTCTCTCTCTCTCTCTCTTGCTTCCTTGTGCCCTCATCTCAAGCCCTGTCAAGAGGAAAGGAGCACACTGCCTCTCTCAGACACTGTGGTGTAAATGACTTACACCACGGACGCTTATTTCACATAGTTCTGGAGGCTGGGAAGTACAAGATCTGGCTGCCAGTATGTGCAAGGGCTTATGAGGGCTGCCATTCTGGTTTCTTCACATGGCAGGGAGACATCACCTCTCTCATGTCTTTTTTTTTTTTTTTTTTTTTTTTGAGACAGACTCTTGCTCTGTTGTCTAGGCTGAAGTTCAGTGGCGTGATTTCCACTCACTGAAACCTCCACCTCCCAGGATCAAGCAATTCTGCCTCAGCCTCCCGAGTAGCTGGATTACAGGTGCACACCACCACACCCAGCTAATTTTTGTATTTTTAGTAGAGACAGAGTTTCACCATTTTGGCCAGGCTAGTCTCAAACTCCTTACTTCATGATCTGCCCCCCTCGGCCTCCCAAAGTGCTGGGATTACAGGCGTGAGCCACTGTTCCTGGCCTTTTATTTATTTATTTTTTTGAGACACAGTTTCGCTCTGTCGCCTAGGCTGGAGTACAGTGGCACAATCTCAGCGCACTGCAACCTCCACCTCCTCAGCTGAAGTGATTCTCGTGCCTCTCAGCCTCTTGAGTAGCTGGGATTACAGGCATGTGCCACCACACCAGCTAATTTTTGTATTTTTAGTAGAGACAGGGTTTTACCATGTTGGTAAGGCTGGTCTCAAACTCCTGACCTCAAGTGATCTACCTGCCTTGGCTTCCCAAAGTGCTGGGATTACAGGCTTGAGCCGCTGCACCAGGCCTTGTGTCTGTTGTTATAAACGCAGTAATCCCTCATGGGGACTCCACCCTCATGACCTAATTACCTCCTAAAGGTCCTATCTCCAAATACCATCACATTGGGAGTTCGACCTTTACCATATGATTTTGGTGGGGGACATACATGCAGTCCAACATCTAGACTAGGCCCTCTGCCTGTTCTGCCAAGGCAGAAGTTGGCAGTTGAAGTCTTGTCTCTGCATGTACTAGCTGTGTGGCCACGGCCAAGTCCCCTGCTGTCTCTGAGCCTTGTAATGCTGCACTGTAAAATGAGGATAATGGGAGGTCCCTGAATCTCTTGGGTGGTGTTATGGGCTGCATGTGTGTCCCCCACCAAAATCATATGGTGAAGGTCGAACTCCCCGTGTGATGATATTTGGAGATAGGACCTTTAGGAGATAATTAGGTCTTTTATCTCCCTTTAACATTTTTGTTTAAAGAATCTAAAACTTGGCCAGTGTGGTGTGTGGCTCACCGGGTGTGGTGGCTCACGACTGTAATCCCAGCACTTTGGGAGGCTGAGGTGGGTGGATCACCTGAAGTCCGGAGTTCAAGACCAGCCTGGCCAACATGGTGAAACCAGATCTCTACTAAAAACACACAAAAAAATTAGCCAGGCGTGGTGGCACATGCCTGTAGTCCCAGCTACTCAGGAGGCTGAGGCAGGAGAATCACTTAAACCTGGGAGGCAGAGGTTGCAGTGAACCGAGATAGCCCCATTGCATTCCAGCCCAGGCAACAAGAGTGAAACTCTGTCTCAAAAAAAAAAAAATCTAAAACTTAATAGATGTATAGTGTTGAAAAACTGTAAAAAGTACAAAAGTGACTATATCCCTCTTTTCCTGGGTGAAAACTGACATTTTGGAGGGTCTGATGAAAGGGTTTTTGACGCATTTTAACATAAAATGTCAGTCAGTAACTCCCAGAAGAAGTAAAGCTCCCCAGCCTTTTTAGTGTGCGGGGCGAACATAGGGCAGGAGAACTGGAAGCAGGTTTGGGACTGACAAGAGAATTATCTTCCCAAGCTGAGCGAACCTGCTTCTCAATTCCCAGAGGCTCCTCATTATGGAGCCCATGTGGTATAGGCAGTGAACAGAGTTCAGGGTCAGCATCCATACACGCATACATGACACAGCTGGGTACACACACATGGCTGCATGCACATAGACCCAGGCATGTGCACACATGAACAAAATTGCATGACTAGGCCCCGAGAGGAGCTGTCTTAATTGCAAATCTCCATCTCTAGAGGCCCGGGATCATCCTGGCACCTCTCCACTTCTCCACCGACAGCGCATTTTGTAAGCATCCCTCCTCCTGCCTCCTGCCACTAGTACCCCTGCCATGTTCTCATCATCTCTCCCCTACGCTAAGCCCCAGCCTCCTCTGATTCCACCTCTCCTCCACCTTCCATCCATCCCATATGCAAATCACGCATCACTTCACATTGCTGCCCTTTGTTATGAATCAGGACCAAACTCCTCCGCCTGACCTTCAAGGGCCTTACTGCCCAGTCCTACAGGTACGCTCTGTCCAGTCTCCCTGGACCAGCCACTGTCCCTGAGCTGGCCAGAGCTGTTCCTATCTCCCTTTCTGTGCCATGTGGTTCCTCTGCTCTGAATTCCCAGTCTCCTGTTTGCTTTTCCAAATCCACTTCTTCAGGATTCTGTCTGGCAGCCAATTCCCCACCCCGTTCCCTAGTCAGGGGCTCCCTGCCTCCTCTGGGCTCTCCCCCAGCTCTCTGTTTGTCACCTTCCCGTCTCATGGAAATGCTGCTTTCCTGTGCTGGGTTTCAGAACCAACTGAAGACCTGTGCACATCGAATGGCAGCACAGCTCCATGGCATAGAGCCTGGGGCACTGCACACTGCGGGCCTTCAACAAATAGTATCCCCCTGCCTGCCTCTCCCACTAAACCTTAGGCTTCCTGAGAGTAGGGACTGTGTCTTCCCATCAGTGAACCTGTGACAGGTGCTCATAAACACTGTGTGATGCAGCCATGGAGTGTGGCCTTGGAAGGGTTACTTGACTTCTCTAAACTTACATTTTCCCATCTGTACAATGGGAACAACCTCCCAGGGCTGTTGAGAGGAGTAAATGGAATCATGTGGGGGAAGAGCCTGGCACAGGTGAATGGAGAGGAACAGAGGTGCAGGTTCCACACCCAGAGCCACATCACCCCTCATAGCTGGTTACCCTTCATCACAGGGAGTCTGCACACTGATTCCTGGAACAAATTGGGAAACTGAGGCCCAAAGAAGTGGTGTGCCTGACTCCCATCTATTCAAGGCTGGGATTAGAGGCCCATCTTCCTTTGGAGGTGCCTCCTGGCTACCTTGGGGTGGGGCCTGGATCGGGCACTGACTCCCTCTGTCCCGGCTGCTTCTTTCAGTTCTCCACCATCGGAAGCGTGACCTATGAGCGCGTGAGCAAGAGGCTGGCCTAAGCAGCCAGGCCCGGCCCAGGGAGCTACAAACCCACCAATAAAGCTGATACAAGGACAGATGCTGCTCGCTCCAGAACTTCTTTGCTTTTCTTTTCTGGTGTCTTGGGACAGCCTCTGGCTGGGTGACGGGGTGCGGAAGGCCCCCAGGCATGGCCACATGGGCCACACATTCATTGGCCCTGAGATCCCTGTGGGATCCATGTCATGGCAGAGGAAGATATGAATGTGGGTGACCGCAATGCTCCTGCCCCTGGGTGAGGCTGAAGGTGGCGCACAGGAAGCATGGTGGGCACACTTCTGTGGCCCCTTTGTCCCACTCTGCCACCCCCCACTCTGTGCTGCATGAAGGCTCCTTTATGGAGACAAAGTCACCTGGGAAGGGTAATACGTTGATTCTCAGGTGGGCCACAGGACAGGCATATCAGGACTTAGGGGTTGTGGGGTGGGAGCTGTACCTTTAGGAAGGGCCCTGGCTGCTGGGCTCCAAAGCTCAAAGTGGGGACGGACCAGGGCTCGCCCAGGAAAGCTGTTTCAGCTTGGACAGGGCTCTGCTGTTATTCACTGCAGAGTCATCCCTTTGGGCCTCAGTCTACCCATTGAGGGGTACAAAGGGGGTCCAGCAGGACCAACGACAAGATGACGGGGAGCAGTGGTCTATGGGATGGCAAAGGGGCAATGGGGGTGATAGGAGTGACAGGAGGAACTGAGACTTGTAGGGCTTGGGTGGGGTGCCTGGGAAGGGGGGTGGGCGCATGGTCACCCTGACCTCTGGTGCCTGGAGTCCTGGGTTGAGAAGCATTCTGAGACAGCATTCGGGTTTGGTAGATGTCCTGGGGCAATCTCTAACTGAGAGTCCTGAAGGGGACTTTTTTCATCCTCCTCTTTCCTTGGAAGTGTTGCCACATCTGGGTACGAACTTGACTTCTTTTTACTCAACATTTTTCTATAGTACAATTCACTTATTTTTACTATAATGGAAAATCACGTCACTTCCACACATGGACAACCACTATCATTTGCCATAAGTAGACTAAAACTATTTAAAAAGTCAAAGCTGAACAATGTTGACTTCTAGCTAGATTCTGATGCCTGCCCAAGGCCCTGGGCCTGAGGCCTCCCTTTGTTAAAAGGGCGAGAAAGGTAAAAGACGCAGTGGTAACAAATGGGAAAATTTCTCCTTAACTCAACAACATTCCGTAGAGACTACTGAAAGGAGAATGTACTCACTGTAAGAGTTGAATTACCAAAGGCAGGTAGTACTTATATTATTTTGAATGCACAGGTCCCACACGTGAGACATAAGGAATAAGGTTTGCCCAGAGCTTTGCACAGGCTCTGGCACACAGAAGGGGCCTAATAGGTGCTACCTGCCCTAGTGTCCTTCCAGCTCTCTGCAATTTGCAGCCTTTCACTCTTGGGAGCTAGCCTCAGCCTGGACAGATGTTACGGCCCAGGTCACAGGCAGCCCCTCTCTTGCCTCCTCCCACATTCTATTCTGAAACCTTGCTTATTTTTCTAAGAACAACACACAGCCTCTCCCCACCCACCCACCCAGCCAGCAAGGACCCATGAATTCCACCATTTTGCCAAGACCTATTGCTAATTAAGTGAACTAGGTAAGCATTAAATTAAACTAGCAGTGTTGCTGTTTCCCCTCCAGACTGAATAATTACTCATAATGAGCCTGGATAATAAGTCTCTAAATAACAGAGTTAACTATAATTAGGCTGAAAATTGAGAGAAGGGGAGAGAGTGAAAGAGGAAGGAAGGGGAGAGAGAGGGAGAGAGGGAGGGAGGGAAGGAGGGAGGGAGAGACAGAGATAAGAGAGAATTTTCGTTTCTGCAATTGATTCAAGCACAAATTCAAATTGTTGACAGGGGAGAAATTTTCAAGCCTGCACTGTTATAAGCTAACAGATTTATAGACTATGGAAAAGCAGGACCTCTGCTCTCAACTAGTTTAAACTCTATATTTCACAGATATGGAAACTGAGGCTCAGAGAGGAAAAGAAATTTATCCAAAGTCTAACAGCAGAGAGTGAGTGAGTCTCTGAGAGTAATGTGGGGGTGGGCTTCACTCACTGATGCAGGTGCAGTTTCTTAGTGTCGGTAAACAGAATAAGGTGAGCTGGATGGAGAAAAGCACCCATGTTACTGGCATCTTGGCAAGGAAGATTCCTCAGCCAGAAGAGCTGGTGGTTAAGAGCTTTGACTCTGGACCGGGTGTGGCAGCTCATGCCTGTAATCTCAGCACTCTGGGAGGCCGAGGCAGGGGGATCATTTGAGCTCAGGAGTTCGAGATCATAGGGAGACTTTATCTCTACAAAAATGTAAAACATTAGCTGGTCATGGTGGCCTGTGGTCCCAGCTTGGGGGACTGTGATGGGAGGATAGAACAGGCACGGGAAGTCGAGGCTGTAGTGAGCCGTGATTGCACCACTGCCCTCCAGCCTGGGCGACAGAGCAAGACTCTGTCTCAAAAAAAAAGAACTTTGGGGCTGGGTGCGGTGGCTCATGCCTGTAATCCTAGCACTTTGGGAGGATCACCTGGGGTCAGGAGTTCGAGACCAACCTGGCCAACATGGCGAAACCCCGTCTCTAATAAAAATACAAAAAATTAGCTGGGCATGGTGGCACGCACCTGTAATCCCAGCTACTCGGGAGGCTGAGGCAGGAGAATAGCTTGAATCCAGGAGACAGAGCTGCAGTGAGCTGAGATGTGCCATTCATTGCACTCCAGCCTGGGCGACAGATCAAGACTCCGTCTCAAAAAAAAAAAAAAAAGAGCTTTAGTTTTAGAGTCACATTACCAGGATTTGAATCTCTCCTTTATCACCTAGTAGCTGTGTCAACTTGGGGTAAGTTCATCCATTTCTGAGCCTCAGTTTCCCACGTGTAAATGGAGGTAACAACTGTACTTACCTAATAGGGTTGCTACAAAGTCACTCAATATTAGCTCCTACCCTCACCTCCATCATCATAACCATCACTCTCAGGTCAGTGCAATCAAAGGGTTAGGAGTGCCTCTGTCACTAGCTTGTGAGTCACTGGAGCTCTCGGAGCCTCATCTTGTCCAAGAGTAAGATGAGTTAGTAAGACCTTCCCTTCCTTGATCACAGGGGAGTCACAGGATAAAGGGTAAAAATCCATGCTTTGGGAGGCCAAGGCAGATGGATCACTGAGCCAGGAGTTCAAGATCAGCCTGGACAATATGGTGAAACTCCGTCTCTACAAAAAATACAAAAATTAGCCAGGCATGGTAACACGTGCTTGTAGTCCCACCCACTTGGGAGGATGAGGTGGGATAATCACCTGAGCCTGGGGAGGTCGAGGCTGCAGTGGCATGATTGCACCACTACATTGCTGCCTGGGTGACAGAGTGAGATCCCATTTCAAAAAAAAAATGTTTTTAAGTCCATGCTCATGACTCCCAGAAAGTTAGATTGGCTTCATCATTTGCTGCACTGTGCAAGATGTTGAAGTGACTTCCCATTCCACAGACCTGGTTCAGTTGCCCTCTACTCCAGGCTCTCCATGATCTTCACCCTGACATTTGGCAGTCATCTCTCCCAATCTGCCAGGGCACCTGCTTCCCTCCTGGCAAGCTCCTTTGGTGAACTTGGGAGCTACCCATAGCATCTTTAAAGATCACCATTAGGGCTGGGTGCACTGGCTTATGCCTGTAATCCAAGCGCTTTGGGGGGGCTGAGGTGGACAGATCGCTTGAGCTCGGGAGTTTGAGACCAGCCTGGGCAACATGGTGAAATCCTGTCTCTACAAAAAATGCAAACAATTTAGCTGCGCGTGGTGGTGTGCGTCTGCAGTCCCAGCTACTTGGGAGGCTGAGGTGGGAGGATGGCTTGAGCATGGGAGGCAGAGGTTGCAGTGCGCTGAGATCACACCACTGTACCCCAGCCTAGGGGACAGAGCCAGACCATGTCTTTAAAACATTTTTTTAAAAAGATGACCATTAGGTGGCACTCTGCCACCTGCCTGCCATTCCTTGGATACCTGGTGTGTTTGTGGGGAAGGAGCAGTGATATCTTGAGTGACTGGGGCTTTGTGTGGGGTATGTGTCACCTAGGGGTGAAACGGCATGGTGAGACCTTCAGCCTCCCCGATCCTCAGTATCCTCATCTGGGCAATGGTCATAATCCAGCTGGCTCATGGTGGCGTTGTGAGGGCAAAAGGAAGGATAGGAGCATAAGACAGAGCCTGCCACATAGTAAGTGTGCACAAAAGAGCCATTAAGGGCTCTTCTTGAAAGGTCTACTGCTGAGAACTGGCACACACCGCGTAGGGCTTTAGAGCAGGGAGAAGTGTGCCAGGCTGGCTGCGCACTAGCCTCTCCTGGGAAACCTCCCATCTCAGACCTGCTGGCCATGACTCTCAGTAAGAAGACCTGGAGTGCCACTGGGACATGCTCCCCTGCTAGGTATGACCTGGGAGACCATCCAGTTCCACCCTCCCGTTTACAGAGGGAGACACTGAGCTCCAGAAAAGGGAAATGACCTGCCTCAGTCCGCACAGCTGGGGAGCAGCAGAAGGCCTGACTTCCCAGATGTCCTGCCTGTGTGTCTCTGATGAGTGTAGGGGCTTACAACCAGCCAGAGCTGGCCCAGCAGAGCCTGGCCACTTGAGTTCTTCCTTTAAAGTGGGAGCTGGGTTGGAGGGAGGTGAAGCTGTCTCACCCGAGGCCTAAAGAAGGGAGGATCCACTTATTTACAGTGTTCCTTGTAGAACTCACTGTTAATAACACGTTTCCATGCTTCCTTACCATACACCTGAACCACAGGCTAGGTTGACAGCCTTTCCCTTAAAAAGATGAGACACAGGTTCAGAGTGGAGAGATGGCTGTCTTCAAGATCATCCAGCTAAGAGCAGGCACACTCAGACCTCTCACCTCTCAGGCCCCGCATTCTTGTCTAGATTCCGCTTTCTTTTTTCTTTTCTTTTTTTTTTTGAGATGTTGTTTCGCTCTTGTTGCCCAGGCTGGAGTGCAGTGGCACGATCTTGGCTCACTGCAACCTCCGCCTCCCGGGCTCAAGCGCTTCTTCTG